GGTGTACGTGGCTGGCGCCTTAGCCGGTTGAGCTATAGGCGCCGAGCCTGTAGGTGAATTCTTATTAATGCTGTCTTAATAGTAACACATATTTATTGGTGACTGTGATACTGGAGTTTCATCTTCAGTAGATTATTGGTCTGGTGATTTGAAGAATGAATCCACAGGCCACAGATCAGTGGTAAGACAGGATTTATTTATAGAAAAGAATACAAAAACACCAGCTGAGAGAAGCCAGGTCAGGCTAAAAGCCATCTCCCTCTCTCTGTCTCTCTCTGGTGTCTTTGTCCGGGGGTATATCATGTATATATTATATAATTTGTAATAATAATTATATAATATATAATAATGTTTATAATATACCCCTGGACATGAGTATACCCACTAGTTGTATGTGTCCTCCGTAGTTACATTTAAGTTACATTTAGCTGGGCTCCATAGTTACATTTAAGTGCATGGGTCCTCTGTAGTTACATTTAGCTGGGACTCCTTAGCAAATGAATGGCTACAATCCCTTCAATTCCCAGGCCTAGGAAACCTCCATGAAATTGCACAGGCCTAGGAAACTGGGGTTCCCTCTTCAGCAGCAAGTGCAAGGGGAGGGAGACCTAAGGTGCTGCTATGTATTTTATATATATGAAAAATAATAAAAAGGAATTATATGCTTCTACCGAATAAGCCCTCGTATTATTTTTTTGTATTCTTTACCTTTTCTGGAAATTTCGACTTAGTGTATATTTTATAAAATAACACAGGTTTTGCCTCAAAATATTTTGTGCCCTGGCTGGGCACAGAGACATATATCTATACTAATAGCAATCTAGGAGGCTGAGATGAGAGGATGTCTGAGCTCAGGAGTTGGAAACCAGCCTGAGTAAGAACAACACCCCATCTCTACTAAAAATAGAAGATAAAATTACCTCACTATCCTTACAGACACCATTTAGTCCCTGCTTCTCAGGGCACTGCAGCCTGGGCAACTGGGTGAGACTCTGTCTCAACACATGTGTGTGTGTATGCACATACAGACCTGCACATGCATATATATACATATCTTATTATGATAATCTCCCTTGCTCTCATTTGATGAATATTTCAATTAAATATCTTTGGCTCCTGAATTTTTTTTTTTTTTTTGAGATAGTCTCACTATGTCGTCCTATGTATAGTGCCGTGGCATCACAGCTCACAGCAACCCCAAACTCTTGAGCTTAAGCGATTCTTTTGCCTCAGCCTCCCAAGTAGCAGGGATTACAGGTGCCTGCCACAACTCCTGGCCATTTTTTTTTTTGTAGTTGTCATTGTTGTTTGGCAGGCCCCAGGCCAGGTTCAAACCTACCTGCCTCTGTGTGTGTTTGTCCAGCACCCTAGGCGCAGACCTACAGGCACTGAGCCTGCAATGTTTTATTCCTTTTTTTTTTTTTTGCAGTTTTGGCTAGGGTTAGGCTTGAACCCATCACCCCCTGTATATGGCGCCAGAGCCCTACTCCTTGAGCCATAGGCGCTGCCCTTTTATTCCATTTTTATCATTACATGTAAGATGAGTATTATTAGATAGTATATAGATAGATCTTGATTTTTTAGTTTTTAGATCCCTATTTTTATTTAGTGTTTGCCATTTGATTCTGACTTTTAGTCCATGAAGATTTATGTAATTTTTGAAAGAGAGGATTTACTGTTGACAGCTTTTTAACTGTTTTCTTTGATTCTTGCATCTGTTTTCCCCCTTCTGTCTTCATTTGTATCTCATTCATTTGTGCAGTAACATGCTTTGCTTTTTTTTTATTATATGAGTGTGTGATTATAGATATTTTTATTGTAGTTACCATGGCAATTACACATTTTCCAAATATATTTTCAACTGATAACAACAGTTATTAGTGTTTATTTTTAAATGTTTTCTTAAACAGAGTTTGAGTGGTAACTTTCTGTATCTTAAGTATGATTAAAAGTGTTTCATGCACCATCATTGTAACAATACAGAATTTCATGGAGGTGTACTTAGTTATCTTTCCCAGAGTTATTTGTTTTTACATAATTTACTATTGTTGTGGAGGATCATTTCATTGTCAATGAAAGGGTCTTCCTTTGACTTTTCTTATGTGGCAGCTTTGACCATCCATTCATCATGATAAATGTTTATTTTTTCATCATTTAGAAGGGCAGTTTTGCTGAATATCGTATATGTGCTTTGAAGATTTTGTTCTTTCAGTACTTTGATGATATCACCCAACTTCTTTTTGACATGGAAGATTTATGTTGATTAATCTACTACTAATCTCACAGGAGCATGCTTAGAGATGACACATCAAGGGCAGTGTCTGTGGCTCAAGGAGTAGGGCACTGGCCCCATATGCCGAGGGTGGTGGGTTCAAACTCAACTGCAGCCAAAAAACTGCAAAAAAAAGTGTGAGAGATGACACATCGATTTTCTCTTGCTGCTTTCAAAATTCTCTTCTTGTGTGTGACTTTCAATCATTGATCTTCATTCGTCTTTGTACGGGATTCTTTGTGTTTCTCCTACGTAGAGTATGGGGATCTTCATGATATTTTATATCTTTTTCCTTACATTTGAGACTGCTCAGTCATTTTCATTGTCAACATCATAATTTATTTATTTATGCTTTTATTTTCTTCATTTTTGTGATATTATTTAGTTGTCTGTATCATTCCTATTTGTCTCATTTAGCTTTATTCAGATAACATTAAGGTAATTTTGACATCTTTATATTGTATGGCTGATTCCAGATTATTCCTTTTGTTTCTTTGAGTTATATCAGCCTAAAATTTTGTACATGTTAGTCTTTGACTCATTTTTGAGGATGAGAAAAGCCACCTTTCACAAACTTTGTGATATGGTTTTATCCTGCAAAATTCTGACACTT